ATGTTTCTGCTAAATCGCATGCTGATTGTATCATTGATTCCATTCAGGAATTTCATTTTGATGGTTTGGCTGGTGTAACATTCGAATCTTGGTACAAGAAATATGAAGATGTATTTAATGTTGACCTAGAAGCGTTTGATGATGCCGCCAAGATCAGAGTGCTACTACGAAAGCTGGGGACCATTGAACATGAACAATACACTAATTACATTCTGCCCAAGAACCCAAGAGACATTTCATTTGAAGAAACAGTTAAAATTTTGTCGCAAATTTTTGGTGAACAGTCTTCTTTGTTCAATATTCGATATCAGTGCCTGAAGATAGTAAAAGCTGGCAACAATGACTGGGTGCAACATACTAGCATAGTAAATCGTGAATGTGAGTGCTTTAAACTATCAGCAATGACAGAAGACCAATTCAATAATAATAATAATAACAATTAATGGCTTTATTCAATATTATAATCTGGCACAATATAGAATTCTCAGCACGAGTTATTTCAACAAGTTTTTTTTACCAAAAAAAACACAAAACAAAAAAAACCAGTAGCTACTGCGCCACCACAGGTCTTTTTATTGTTTGATCGATCCTGACGATAGATATTAAGATCACGTAATGATACTAGGCAATCATCCTGTAAGGCAGTCAACCAAGATTCTTGAATTGTGATGACACCACAATTACGATACATGTTTTGACTTAGCAGAAATTGGAGATAGTCCACCTTGTCAATTAGAGATCGACAGTTAGAGTTAAGCAGCTCGGGAATCGACATTTGATTAATGTTTATTCTCTCTAAAGCATATTGCCAAACACCACAATGTCTCTTATTGTACTTGTTTACAATTTTTGCAGCGAAAGGACGTAAGCTTTTCATAAACGCGCCTTTATAGGTTATGCGATCAAGAGACATAATGATAGGTTAAAACCAATTTTTAAAAAACCCAGATAACTTGTTGAAATATTTAGATGGCAGAAACGGGTAGCCCAGGGATTCAAGCAGGCCGCCGGATGCGCCAGATGCCAAATGTCTTGTTTTCGTATGCAGTTTACAGTCTTCAGAAGATGCCGACATCAGAACCAGAATTCTAAGTAAAATTGAACAGTGTCCAAATATCACCCTTCAAGAGGTGACTACTGAGTGTCAGCGTCTGGTGAACTTGAAGCATGACACTTCAATGGTAGAAAATAATGATCGACTACCTTATGTACAGGCAGTAAGTGGGAAGAAAGATTCCTATATGCAAAAGCAGAACACAACCATTAAGAAGCCTCCATCCGCATGTTGGTTTTACGGAGAGCTGCATTACAAAAGGTTCTGCCCTTACAAAAACTACCGGTGCACTAGATATCAGCTCAAAGGACATAAAGAAGCATGTTGTAAGAAGAGGATGCACTGTCGTTCATCAAGTGTACATTTCCGAAGACGTAAAAACTGTTCATCAACCAATAGAATAATGGTAGCACATACCAGAACAGAACATAATCAAAGAAAATATGTGACCTTAGAGATTAATGGGCGCCGTGCCCGTCTACAGCTTGACACTGCTTCAGATATTTCACTTATCAGCCGCAAAACATGGAGTCATATTGGCAAACCTTTGGTGCTCTCTACAACTCAGCACTCAGTGCATCTGGAGAGAAGGTAAATATTGCTGGAGAGATATGCTGCCCAGTTAGAAAAGGGAAGGTACAGAAGAATGTGAAATTATATCTCACGGAAAGCCCAGGACTAGATTTGCTTGGTCTTGACCTAATAGAAATGTAGCAGTTGGCTAACCAGCCAATTAATCATATATGTAGTCCGGTGAGATCTGATGCACTCTCAAGGCTGATTGGTCCTCAGGCAAAACATGGAGAATCCACTGATTATGATTCATTATCTGCCAATGAGGTTCCAAAAAATTCAAGCAAACTGTTTCACAAGAATCGAAAGCTGGTGACCTCAAATCAATTGTCGTCGATTCTCATGATCCCATCCCCGTCGCCAGTTGTTATAACGTGAGAATTTGCCCTCTCTCTCTCTCTCTCTCTCTATATATATATATATATATATATATATATATATATATATATATGCTTCCGATGATACAGGAAATACGTACGAGCAGTCTTGGGTGCTTTTCGGTCCTTCCTATCTGCCTAGCCCAGCCCGTTAAGTCCAGAACACAAATAACAGCCTCGGCAATATGAATCATTATTCACAAGCATACTGGGTTTATATACTAACCAAACAGACCAAATTATACCAAAAAATAGAAAGATAGCATTTGTACAATAATTGGCCAATGTGGCTATGGATAGGGGGAAAGTAATCAACAACAATAGTTCAAAGGTCAAACTAAAGGTTATGATAAGAGGAACACGAATACGATTAGGTCAGTTATTCAACAACTATGCAATAGGAAATAGGCATATTGCATTTGTCCATAATAGACCTCAGATTTACCATTCATAATTCACCAGGAGATATAACAGCTACTTCACCTTTTACTTTCTCCATACTATCACATCCGAAAAGAACCATGTTTTTCAGGGTCATATATTAATCTGTGATGCCGGGGAACGGCCATACTTCAATGTGGACCATGATCTTCAGGTCCAATTGAGAGCACATCCATTTGATTTCTCCTAGTTTACACGTCAGTCCTCTTACCTTGCCACTGAGGTACTTGATGGTTTATCTCATCACCTAGTGCTCCTCTACGGCACTGTCTATCTTCTGCTTTTTGAATAGATCGCTGTTTAAAATATGTTGGCCAGTTCCGTGAAAACTGGTTGCTGTAGGCTCCTTGTCCGTGTAGCGTGTTCCGTTAGCGCGGTCGTCTTCTCTGTGTTCCTCATGGTAGATTGCTGATCAAGGTCAACTGACACCAGTGCGCGTTTTGTCGGGATTTCTCGCCGTTGCTTTGCTAATCAAGGTAGACCTTCACACATCTACGGTGGAGGCTTTTGGTACTTATACAGGTGACGTAGCTTGACTGAAGTGATAACCTTCACCGATGACGTACGTTATTTGTCTCACCATTCTTTGCCCGAAGCTGCCCTATTCTCCAACACTGGGACACCAAATAAAATCAGACAGTTTTGTCCTAGGTCTTTATTATCCATTTTTTGTGTCGTGGGAGAATTAATAACCTATGAATTTTGACCTCTAATTCTGCTGGTCGTCCTTGAGGTTTTCGTGTAAGTACTGGTGGTAACTTTATTATCGTGCATGCTAATCGACTGACTAAAAAGTAAAATGTGAGGCTACTTAAGGAAGAAGTACGACAGACGAAATTTTCGAAGGATATTACATGTTACACGAGAATGGAACCTGAATGATATTTAAAATAACAGCATTACCTTTGAGAGTCCTAGCGACAAACTTCTCGTGGATCCAATAATTTACCCACAAGTCCAGTGTTACGGAGTAAATTGATTTGTATACGTTTCAGCTGAAGAACTAGGAAGAGAGCAGTCGATCGGGACAGCTAGAGCTATCACGCAGTGATCCAACCTTCGTATGTTTAGGGTCAGATTTGTTATTATGGTTGTCTACCAGCAAGAGGAGGACACAGCAAGTATTCATAGAAGCGTTTGAATATTTCAATATAGTAGTGGGGCTGGGGTGTAGACCACTAGAGTAGATGACGTTTTTCGAGTGACTGGGGGCCTACTCGAGCTAAGCGGGAACGGTGTAACCAACCAGTCGACGTCGAATTCGCACCTCATGGCTGATACCCTACGTGGATTATCCTCTTCGTTATATCCAGGTACCGTGGCTGCCTCGACAATCGTACAACACAAACAACGTTCATACATAAATATATTAGGAAGAGTAGCTGCAAGGAACAGAATTCGACCACTGCAACACAGACCAGTCCATGACGTGTAATAAACTGATGCACGTTGGTTGTCCTTGATTTTGATGAAGACCGGCGAACTGTTCGATATTAGGTGACCCGACTGTAGGGTGATTAAGCTCAGAGACATTTTACTGACCGCACAGTGGATATTTCAGGTTACTGATGAGAGATTAATGAGTCACAACGAAACACTTTATTTCGCACTTTGTATGAAGTATCAAAATCACATCAAACTCGAAGAACGCGATGATAATACAGAAAGCCTTGAGTACACTGGTTGAGTGAGCGAATAATTAGCTATCAAAAGTGAACTTTATTGAACACATAATGGTTAAAACCAAACATCACGATTACTTACAGAGCTAGACGATAAATGTAATTGGCCATATATTCAGGAGTTATAATTAGTAACCGTCTTACAGCTCCAAGTAACTCGAAGGCGGTCCTATCCAAAAGCTTTTGAGTTTTATAGGTCATTCGAAAATTCCATCTGAAATACGTGATTCAAACGGCCAGTCCTTGTTCCGAATGCGAAATTGATGTAACTGGAAAGATACAACAGTGAAATACCTAAATGACTAAAGGTCTTTCCGACTTGCATTGAGGAGGCAAACTAAGATGTCTTATATCATCCTTACTATATCAACACAGACTTCTAGGTGATCTCTTACTCCTTGACAATATAAGGAAGAATGATTTTGATATGAATTCATCCCACATTCTTTCCTAAGCTAGAACTGGTCGTTTGAAATGGTATTATCAGTGCATTAGCTAAAATGAAATATTCCACTTCTGAAGTTTCTTTACGTGGATCAAGTGGTAAATTACTGGGCTGCTCCACCAGATTACGTAATTTCAGTATCTTCTGCTGACGGATTCATATAGAGATTGGATTTCCATAATACTAATAGTTGTGAGAATTAACTCGTCGTTATAACGCTCATTTTTATCTTTAAAATCTGAAACTGACATCAAAAATTATTTAGCTTTGAAATATTTTTAAAAAAAGGACATACTTTCTGAGGCAAGATAATTGAGGGATCATGTTTTGTTTTTTTGTATCAATGAGTAGCCTTGTTCACACTACCGCAATATACAGAAGTTCTCATCTGGAGTTATTGACTCTTCTGACTGTTGGATAATACACATATGGATGTTGTGATTGATAGTCGGGACTCAGTGAGTAATCTTGATCAGTCCCGTTGGGGCATAAATCTAGACAACCTACTGAATGATTCAGACGGTGTGGAATTTTTCAACAAATTTCTTTCATACAAACATTCTGCAAGTCATCTCCTTGATTTCTGGTTTGCCTGCAAGGGCTTCCGATCAAATGCTGACTTGTCCAATCCGGATAAGCTCTTTCAAGTTGCTAAGGTTATTTATAGGACTTATATAAAGTCAGGTGCTTCACATGCAGTTCCGCTGCCTTATATTTTAAAACAAAACATTAATGAGTGCCTGTCGTCCTACCATTATGGGTACAAAAAAGGCCTCTCTTCTAATGCTTCTGTACAACCTCCCGATCGGTGCCTGTTTGATTCAGCACAAAATGTTGTAAAAAGTCTTCTGGAGCAAAAATATTATCCCGAGTTCCTTACCTTCATCGCATGTCCTAGCAATTTATTATGTATTACTTCAAATGGACCACTCTGTTCTGACAGAAAAACACGGAACAAGTACCTCGAATTTCTTTACTCAGACTATAAACTGGAAAGTCGACGATCAAATCGCACTAAGCACAAGTCATTTTCTGAATACAATAGATTTTCTGCTGATCAGTAAGTTCTATAATTGTTTTCTCAGTTTTTTTTGTCCTATTAGACATGAGTGCTTAATGTATAGGTTAGCCATATTATCGACTACTGTCTAGTAGCTGATCCATATAATCTATCCTAACGTGTTTAACCAACCGTTTCGAATCATCAGTCTATTATGATAAAGACAGTCTTATTACTAAAGTTATTGAGATGCTAGATCTTAGACTTATATGAACGTTTTACTAAAACACACGAATCGGTTCTATTAACTAGCTCCTACTTAATACTCACGTTCAGATTTTCAGATGAGATTAAAATTTCACCAACTCGAATTTCAGTTATTGAGGTCCATGTGTAATCAGAGTGGAGATTCGCCAGGTTTTCCAGATTATTATATTCGTAAATTCATATGGCTTTGCCAACCAGTCACAGTTTTTTTATCCGCATTACTGATATTCACAACAACAATGAAATAATAAATATAACCATAATAGCTTTATGTTTGCTTTCAACGTTGTTTTTTTGGTGGGAAACACTAGGTTGATTGGCCAGGGTTCTGGTTTATAACTTAGTTGAAAGCAGTGGTTCAATCCGTATGATCCCTCTACACAGTAAGTACATGTCCATGTAATTGGTTTCGCGCTGCAACAACAGTGAATAATACTACCTGGCACTAATATAAATTAGGTAGGATATAGTTTTAACTTGTGATGTACTGGTCAGAAGTGATGTAACCAACAGTTTTACAGTAGTAAAATTTAAACAACCAATCTGCAACTCAAATTTTAACTACTTGCTACGTCATAATTTACTTGCCAGCACCTTGCGAAGTTGACTTAAATATAAGAAGTCACAGAACTTTTCCTGATTGATACTTAACAAGGTATGCCTCTAATCCTAGGTTATATGTGCATATTATACCATCTTTGGTGTCCAATACATTTTATTTAACTTTGCTAGTTAATTCAATATTTCAAAAACCGATTGATGTTAGCACCATAGAAATACCCGAAATATTCACGAAACTGATGGTAAAAAAGAATACGAAAGAATCTCTTCCGAATGTCTAATCCTTTTGAATCCAGATTTGATTTCTACCCATCAGTTACGGATTGAATATAAGCAGTACCAGTGAAGGTCGTAAACTATATCGCTGAAACATGAACATATATATGTCATTGTGCGAAAGAGATGTTGAATATGACCTCAGGTTTAGAATATAAACACTGAAGGGTAATAACCCAACACGTGATTATAAACGCAAAAACAAACTAATTCTTGATTTTCTGAAAAACTGGATTATATAACGTGCTTTTAGCGAGGTTGATGTCTAACCGCTAAACACTAATGAAATATCGAAGTTTTACTGGGTAAAATTAACCGAACTAAAATTGGATAACCATGTATTGGAAGTGTATACATCTCATTAAACGGTTGTTGCTTAGTGGTGGCCCAGTGGTTAGAGCGTCCGACTTTCACCTATTGAGTCACGGCTTTGAATGACTTCTCACCTACTTTGGTTTGGGCAACCGTTAGCCCTCACATTTAGTGTGGCTCATACTCAAGTACCTGGTGAATAAGTTAGTTTGACTTATTGCTGTTGAGTTAAACATTTATTTAATTGAAAACATAAATATTGGTACAAGGGGGCACCAGATGCATATGCGCCACACAAAAGTATGTCATTTCATTTAATTGTGTGAGGGCTATGATACTGCCCGTGTGCTCAGACCGAGACAGGTGGTTTTCTTAGGGGGCCACACCTGAAGCCTTTGACCCAAATGTCTGATCCACAAGGCCGTGGAGCATCGTGAGGAGACGCAATCCCATGGTAGCCTGTGACCAACGATTGATTCATATGCCATTTGTTCCCTCAGGATCCTGTAGCCCATGTGCACCATTGATTTTGAATGAGAATTTTCCAACTCCCCTAGGTGGACTTTCCGTGTCCACCAACCTGATTAAAGTGCCGGACAATCGCTTTTCGTCCTCTCACTTTCGTAAGCAACACCCCCTGTTGCGAGAAGGTAGTGAGTAGGACTTCGCTGGCAGAGGCTATATACGCGTGGCCATATGAGATCATTTGAAGAGGGAGAGCGGACTCCCCACTCTCGGCCGTACCAGGGCATTAGGGGGCTTAGTATTGTTATAACGATAGTCTAGTTTTAGCATGATTATAAACATCTTGTTTGGCTTTTGTCAGTCTCTGTCACATAATGCAGTTGGGGTGTTTTTTCATTAAAGTAAAAGTTCGTTGCGCAACTGTCAATTCTCTATTACTTAAAGTATGGGACAGTGTGTTTGAAAGTTTTTAACATTTGATCGTAGATGTCCTTAAAGCATATTTCACGTACAGTGGAACCACCAAGCGAGTAATACTAAATTTTTTTTTCATTTTGGTAATTTATGCGAGTTGTGGTAACTTTTATAAAGGTATATTTGTGCTAGGTCCTACATCAGTTGTTTCCCACTTTAAACTGTAAATTAAAATAGCAGCTACTTAAAATTACCACTTGTTAAAACCAGTTATTATAATTATAGCCTATGAGATAAAATTTTGTATAATGGTGGTTTACTAGTTTTAAAACACAACTTATAACCACGTGTCACTAGTCACAACCCCAGTTCTCCTTGAGTCCAGGCAGTTAGATGGTATTATTAGTTCTTACAAAAGCAATGTGGATTCAAATCAAATGTTCAAAAACTTTTACTTAGTGAATGGGGTACTATGAAACTAAACATCCTCAGTTTGACTGATACTTATGTCAATGGAATACCAACGGATATAGGAAGAGTAACTAACAATTTTTCACTAGATTGGTAACGAATATGATGCAGAAGTCGAATGCTGAAATCAGGCCGTGTTTGGAGTGTTATATGTTAGAGACACTGGGATGTTAATGGATTTAATTGGTGGATCCAAAAGTAGGACAAAAGTCTTTCCTCGATTTTCATATCCGGTATCCAGATATATAGGAATAGATGTTAAAACCAGTTTCTTGCTGAAACATTCTTGCTTTTGTATTGTTAACAAACTTTAATGGGTTGTTCAGTAAAGAAACAAAGAGTCAGTCACGTAACGTTGGTTCAAGTTTCCACACCTTATCAGCACAACGAAATGAAATTATCAGGATAATAGTCAGAATAGTAGAAATGGTAACCGTATCATGTTAGCAAAAAAGGTAAAAAGTGAATAGATCTACTCTATTTTAACTGATTTTAAGCCATGTTACCGAATGTCTCTGACTATTGATTACAATAGTTGCTTAAAAATCAAATGGTCTAAATCTATCGGCACAGCTTAATCCAGCAGTCAGTAACGCCTTCATAAGCCTTTTTTACTCTAATCGCTTTTTTGTGAAATGGATAACATTATTTTTATACTAATTCTGAAAACATTTTTTGTGTGGTTATTGTTATTATTTATCTTGCTTAAGTGAACCACGGCAAAATGTGGTTCGAACTTACAATCTAATTTGCTTAAAAAAACAACTCGATATTGAGATTGTCATGTCATATGCTGAATAGGTTTATACCTAGTGTATGTAGTCAGTCAGCTACAACGTAGGACCAGGCACATATGTGCATCGGTCCAAGTTGCCATACCTCGTTAGCGCAACAAGATGAACACCGAATTCATAGAAGTAGTTGATTTAGTGGTGGTAATATATAAAAGAAAGGTTGTATATAAGGATATAGTGCAGGAAGGAAGACAGATATGATTCAATTTTAATCTCAAGTTTTATGGAAAGATAAAGAGTGTATACACCTGTGCCATTGTAATCGATTCTGATCCATGTCACCTAGAGTCTCCAACCATTCATTACGATAGTCACATGGACCCCAACCGAGTAGTCTGCATCTGCATTGGTTACTATCGTAACCAATGGTTGGAGACTCTAGGTGACATGTAGGCCAAATGGAGATCATCTAATTTTATTTTAATTTTTTTCCTGGACGATTGAAATAGTTGAATTTCCTAACAAGATGGGAATTCATGTGACTAGCTCGTGATAAAATTGATGTATACATTTTTCTATTTACAATCTCGATCTTAATCACAATGATTTAGGAAAGTAATTTATTTTATTTAAACACATAAATATTGATACAAGGGGGCAATAGATATATATATGCGCCGCACAAATCTCTTTTGATTTGTTTGAGGGCTGTGATACTGCCCACATGCCCAAACTGAAGCAGGTGGTTTTCTTACGGGACCACACCCGGAGCCTTTGACCTGAAGGTCTGATCCACAAAGCAGTGGAGCATCGTGAGGACATGCAGTCCCATGGTAACCACAGATCAACAATAGGTTCATACGTCATTTGTTCCATCAGCGTACTGGAGCCAATGTGCACTACTGTTTTTGAATCAGGGTTTTCCAATTCCCCTAGGTGGACTCGCCGTGTCCACCAACCCGGTTAAATCGCCGGACATTCACTTTTCGTCCTCTCACTTTCGTAAGCAACACCCCCTGTTGCGAGAAGGTAGTGAGTAGGATTTCCCTAGTAGAGGCTATATACGCGTGGCTATTTGAGAGCATTTGGAGAGGGGGAGCGGACACTCCTCACTCTCGGCTGTACCAGGGCATTTGGGGGCTTAGGAAAGTAATGCATATTACTTACAGTTTTATATATAATTCGTGTAAAATTAAGGTCAATTGACCAACAAAAAACTTAATTTCTTTATCATTCAAATCTTGTTCTTTGATCTAATCATGATTTCATCATTTAACTTGTTCTTACACTTTTATGTTTCTTTTTTTAAATGTATGACGGTAATCGGTATAAAGCAACACAGTTAATATATGCACATAATAAGATGCATACATCAAATTAGTAGTATCGCATAGCAATAAGTAGCAGTAGATAGTGACTATAATTAAAAAGTAAACTCTCTTTCTCCCTAACATTTACACTTCTGTTTTTATCAAGAATATTAACATAATAAAAGAAAAAGAACATTTCATGCCAAAAAAAATGGAAACTTACGATGCTCTCTCACTTACACACACACACACACATAAAGACATACATGTATATGTATATGTATCTATGCCTATACAATAACGATCAAACAAATTTTTATGTCAATGCACTAGACATAAAACCAATGAATGTTATTAAGTGTATACGAATGTGTTATAAAGGATTGTATGTATGTGTATATGATAGAAAGTATAAAAAGGGGATGGTTATTTTATTAAGAAAACATTGAATTGATTGTCGGCATCTCACATCAAAAGACACCACCTATGATTTTATCTATCTATTTGTTTGAAGAAAAGAGAAAATCACACATCAAAGTAAACAACAACAACAACAACAAAAATAGCGACAAAGTAATAAAAAAAATGGAGAAAAAATTAAGCACAACGTTTTATAGAATAAAGAATATAAGCGCATGTGTGAGGTAGTGAGAGAGAATGTGTGTGTGTGTGTGTGTAAGAGAGAGAGAGAGAGATACTCATAAAATTCCACTTTATGTGAATGAATTTTTATGACTATTTTAGTGTAAAGGTATATTGTAATAATCATAATGATGATGATGACTTTCGTCTTATTTATAACAATCTATATATAGAAATATATTAACACCGTTGGATGCCGACCAGCTCAGTGGTCTATCGGTTAAGTTCTCTAGTACGAGACTGATAGGTCCTGGATTCGAATCTCGCTTGCGAGGCGGGATCGTGGATGTGCACTTCCACTGAGGAGTCCTATGATAGACGAAACGTCCGCTTAGTGCTTCCAGGTTTTCTATGGTGGTTACTAAAAATGAGAGGACTAGTTGATCGATAATATTTGTAACGTAATTAGTTGTTACAGTAACAATGATATATGAATTTCCACATTTATCTTGGGTTTGGATGTTTTGAATAACAAATGGCTAACATTTATTGCTTCAAACATGGAAAGATCTAATGGTTGTTATACAGATGAGAAGGATATCTATGAGGATAGGAAAACAAGTGAAAAACGGTAAAATGTTTAAATTTTAAGAGATAAGGGTTGTGAATGCATCGTAAAAGTTTGGTGTAGGGTAGCATATTTTACATATGTTTTATAGAAAGCTTTAAGCAGCATTGTTTTTTTGGCGGGATTCGAACCTGTGACTGGAAGTCGGATGTTTTGTTCTTTATCACAATAAGAGTCAATAACTTTCATGAATTATTTCATGCCCCGGTCTAATCATCACATTTATTCCGCTTGCGTTAGGTTCTATTTGAGTCAACACAGTATTCTGAGACAATAGTACAGGACAATTCAGATTCAAGATCCCATCCAAGAACCATGTGTCGAAACTCGACGTCACTAAATTATCTGTCACGCAGTAAACGCTTATACACCACTATCCATGATTAAATATCTTTAATCGAGGTATATTTCTCAACAGTAAAAGTTCTCTCATGAATATGCTTCTCAGTACAACGAACTTGATGTTTAGTTTGCCGGTGAATATTTTGTCGGCATTATAGGTATTGTGAAAAGAAATCTTCCACATATTTATGCAGAGATTATATCAAAAACTAATTCTCTTAGAAACGATATAACTTCTCAAACTGGTCGAAAACGGTTTATACTTCATAAAATTCATAAAATCTCAACGGAAGTAGAGTAGTTTTCAGATATCATCGATTGTGTTATCTACTTCTTGGTTCTATAAAGTCATCGACAGACTGAGATCTGTCGTTGGATTTAGACCTCTTGGTTTCCAAGCAAATGTCTTAACTAACGGTTGAAGACTTTCAGAATCATTTACAATATAGCAGGTTCATTCTGTCTTTATTTTAATTTAAGTTTCATGCTCTTAATTAACTTTCACATCTTATTTTGAAAACTCAATTTTTCTTCTCGAATCATACTGTCAATGTCTAATCTTTTCTGTCAACATAATGCTGTTACAACTTCTACTATTCTTGCTATGGCCTTAATAATTTCTATTTCGCTGCGCCTGTGAAGTGGGCCAACGTGAGCCGATTTTCTTATGTATCAAGTTGCACGTTGCTTGTGACTAGTTTCTAGACTTGTTAAGTTTAAATATTGTAAGATCGATATCGTTGATATATTTGAATGATTCCCACTACTCTTTTGTATTGGGTTGACCATAGTTGGATATGTGGAGCACATTATTCTAACTTAACGCGCCAAAGATGTCGATATCTTATGGTAGACCTATGGGAAACTGAATATCTGTGACTGTGGGGTCCCAAACCAGTATAAAAAAACTCTCAAATATAGTCCCTGATCATTTTGTTTTTCAGTGGTTTACCATTTAATACCAACACGCGACTAAGAGGCTATTTCATGCATATAAGAAGCTAGTGCTTGTATGTCATCTTGATTATTTTTTTTGTTGATATTCTTTATTGTTCAATCACTTACTTCTCCAAACTATATTATTGATATTAAGGTTGAAGTCAGTAATTGTTTTCATTGATCACATTACCTGTTTAAGCTTGGATTTGATTGACTCCTTGAAAAATATGTATTTCATTTGGCTGTCTATCATAGGGTATGCCAGTTGTTCAGAATATCTGTGTCAAACTATAATTTTTTTTAACTATTGACTTCTTTGTTTTTATTCAGTCTATTAAGTCTATTTAACATTTCATATAATTTCTTTTAGGTCTCCTGGTGCCAAGAATTTTCATTCCTTATTCACTCCAGATTATTACCCTGCCAATAATAATAATTGTAATGTACCTTCGACTTCAGAACAAATTTCCACAAATCCTTTTGTTCGACTTACTACCAGTTGGACATCTTCAACAATTCAATCACCAGTTATTCATTCTGCACAACCTGATCTTCACTATGATAAGTCAAATAAATCACATCACCATCGATCAACTAGTCGTCATCAATTTCTTAACATTCACGATCATCCACTATCTAGTGGTATTTTAAAAATGCCTGCAACAGCCAATGATTCCATGTATGTTGGTCTAGTTGAATATTTTTTTTTTAAAAATTCATAAAATTCGTTTTTATTGTTACTATCATCAACAATATTAATGATAAACCAAGATGGATAGTGGTTAGCAGTGGAATCCAGGACGCGTGTTTCGTCCTATATGGGGCTCGAACCCAGTACCTTTCGCTTCAAACGCCATCGCGTCATCTACTCAGCTACTGAGTCCGGATAGTCACTTGCTTGTGCAATGTGGTAAAGTTTAAATTCAATTAGTAGTATTGTTTGTTTGAATCATCCCATTGATGTTTAGGACGAAACGCGCGACGAAACTGTATTCCACTGCTAGCTACTATCCATCTTTACTTACAATGCTTGTGAATTAAGGCTAATATCGAAACAATACACACAGTATGCACATATATGCCAATTAGACACTGACCAGTTACAGTCCTAAAAACATCAATGGAAAGATTCAAACAGACAATACTAAGTAATGATAGTTGTATTGTACTGTTTTTTGTTTATATACGTAGTTATCGATTATGATACCCTTTTTCCTCCTCATTTTGTCAATACATATCTTTGCCTTATATTGTTACTTATTTCGTGGTGGTCATTTTTATGTATTCTATATACACTTTCTGTTCATAACTTTTTATGCACACTACCAATACTTATCATCTCTTCGTGTATCTATGTGTACCTGTGTGTGTATGTTTATGTAGTATCTATGTATGTGTAAGATTATTTCATCTTTTCCAATGTAAATTTTTCACATATATACGAAAAAGAAATAAATTTAAGGGCAGTTCCAAATGTGTACAATTGTAGGTATCATTGAATGGACGTACGTGTTGAACAAAACAAACAATGTTCAATAAGAAAATGTCAGACGTTTTTTTATTCTCTTTGTATTTGAAAAAAAAAATAGTAGGCGAATAGGTAGAGTTACATTTTACACAATATATAGTTTAATAATAATGATAATAATACTCTAATAGTCATCTATCATTTTACAGTTGTTTTTCATGTATTCCTAGTTGGGTATAGATTTTTTTTCTTTTCTTGTTGTCATGATGACGATAGTATTATTGATATTGTAAGTTTTTTAAAAATTTTTATACTGTCTGCTTTCATTTGTAAGTTATATCACGGAGCTTTATTGATCAATTACATATGGTAGGTCCTGAGTTTGAATCTCGCGAGGTGGGATCGTGAATGAGCATTGCTGAGGAGTCCCACAATAGAACGAAACGGCGATCTAGTGCTTCTGGGTTTTCCATGGTGGTCTAGCTTCAGTTGACTCATGATTTCAACTATACATAAAAATTATATATGTATTAGCAAATATAAAAGATAGATTATGATCCGTTAAAAGAAAGAAGCAAACCAATGAATGAACCTTCTAATATATATATATATTTGTATACCAGAAAGAGTGTATACACCGACGCCATTGTTATCGATTCTGAACCATGTCACCTAAAGTCTCCAACCATTGGTTACGATAATCACGCCGACCCCAACCAAGTAGTCTGCATCTACCAGCATGGCTCAGACTAGAAGTGAGTGACTTCAAGCACTGATGCCATGTTTTGGTTTGACCGCCCCTAACTCTTTTCCAACCATCCCCTACACTAGTCAGCATAGCGCGTCGTTGTAAGTCAGTTATGAACTGAATAGCTTCAGTGTATACATCTCTGATTAATAAGTGGATGATATAAGTTTCAGTTCAATCAATTCCACCAGAACTGATTGCAAACCTACATTGCTAACGAGTGTCAACGATAAGTCAATTTGAAACAATTTTGTGTAGGATAGTTCTGACTATGCTATAATGACCCATATTTGAAGTTTGTTAAAATAGTAAATAGAATGCTGTTTAATGATGTCCATATTTAGGCGCTGGTTGTATCAGAATTTATGTATTAAGTAAATAAATACAATATAGTCAACTGCTGACCTCTGATATGATTGAGTTGCCGACGTCAAATCTCAACATAACTAATATTTTTTTAAAAACAACACAACCAATCACCTGACATATATATTTTTATAGCTCAAATCATAAGTCCATTGAAGCTAGACCACCATGGAAAACCTGGAAGCACTGGACGGCCATTTCGTTTTATTGTGGGGACTGCTTAGGAGTCAACTCTGGAAATACTAAATTCTCCACAAAACCCCTTCTGATATACATATATTTTTGTTCCGTCTATAAAAATTATTAAACTTGAAAATAAGCAGAATTAAATGTCCCTTAACAAGCAAATTGAAAATGCGCGCCATTAAATCCTGATTAACTGAATCAATAATTTGGTATTTTCTGCAGAATGTAGACGTCATGTATATGTACTGTATAGATACTAAGACAACATAGGTGTTTCAGTACTTTCTGATATCTAATGTTTGCTCGAATTGATATTAATCCATCTTAATCCATATTAATCATCTTTAAATTGAGTTAATCCCCCAGCATCAGTCACCACTCAACATAAAGGACAGAGACCTCTTGATGCAATTATCTCCCTTCAAAATAAAGTTAATCATGAAACATACATTTATAGCTAATTTGAATGTCGTTTTCATATGAACCGTTGAAAAACTAAAAACAAGATGAATTTGTAAACATGATTCATGACTACTCGTCAGTAAGCACTAAGGGTTGGACCGTGAACTGGAACTCCGGAAATCTAGGTCTGCGGTTTAACATTCAGTACTCTCAAGGAACTAAATCTAAACTCATCAGGATTCATATTTTGAAACTCAACTGTTTTATGGAATATATAACTTAACGTCCATAGTTATATAATCATCTAGTGTACCTACGTATAAGTATTTGAATGATAGAGCTGTATAATGATTCATATTAGTAATAATATGATAATCGCCCCCAAATGCCCTGGTACGGCCGAGAGTGGGGAGAGTCCGCTCTTCCTCTCGAAATGCTCTCACATGACCACACGTATATAGCCTCTGCCTCAGTGCCTTCTTGAGGCAGCGATGTTGTCTACGAAATGGATGTCCGGCGCTGTAACTGAGTTGGTGGACGCGGAGGGTTCACCTAGGGGATTTAGAAAACCCTTGATTGCAAACCAATGGTACACATGGGCTCCAGTATCCTGATGGAACAAATGGCGTATGAATAAAAAAGGTTAATCACCGGCTACCATGGGACTGCATCTCCTCATGTTGCTTCACTGCCTTGTGGATTAGATCTTGAAGTGGAAGGCTCCGAGTGTGGCCCCCTAAGAAAACCACCTGGGCAGTATCAAAGCCCTCATACAACTCAAATGAGATTTGCACATGTATATCTGGTGCTTCCTCGTACCAATATTTGTTTGTTTAAATATAGACAAATAATTTTATTCATTAATATTAGCATTATAATTGTGTCTAGCGAACTGTGTACAGTTTGCTACTACTACTACTACTACTACTACCATTACTACTATGCTAAATATGTTTTCTCAAGGTAAAATAAAACGCCGCTTAATCTTTTGATCTTCAAAATTATTCGATTATGTACACGTGTACATACATACCGTACACATAAGAGAGTATTTTTCATTGTGTATCGGTCAGCTAATTTGTTCATTTCTTTACTCCTTTATATGTAAGTGTAAAGTTTACTTGAATTTACAAAGTGGAATAGAACAATACAACAACACTTGCACTGAATAAATATCAACAATAGGATATAATAATAATAATTTTTATAATGATAATGTAGTGTAGTCTACTTATACTCATATAAGTAGTTTATGATGAGGGTCAGACATAGAATGTATTTTGGCAGAAGATCGATAAGGAAAGAACTGAAATGAAGCGCAATTGGTGGGAAAATGCATGAACACTGGAATTAGAGAACCTGAACTGATATTTACAGAAGGGACAGTGAAGATTGAGACAATTGATGGTTATTTTGAACATTGACTGTTCATTGTATGGTTATCAGAATTTAGTGAGATAGTCTGTATATTTTTTTGTGTGCATTAATACATACGATTGTCCCAACTGGTATTCTGTTCAAAACAACAGTAACCGATTGTTGGGAAAATTTCATTTTTTTGCATACACATGGATTGAGCTAATAATTTCCCTCGATTACTGTGATTATTATTATTATTATTATTATTATTATTATTATTATCCATTAATGTTATTGTTATATAAGTACTGGACTTTGGTGTCTATGATATCATCATTGTATTAACAAATTGTGAATATATAGTGTGTTTTACTTAGTATTGTTTGTTTGGATCTTCCCATTGATGTTTTTTTAGGACTGCAGCTGGTCAGTCAGCAGGTACATCCAGCTGACGAGTCCCAAATGGGACGAAACGCGCGTCCTGGATTCCACTGCTAGCCACTATCTATCTTTGAATATATAGTGTGTGTTAATGCGTCTAAGCAAGTTTATATATTTATGTACACATAGTAATTAAGTGGTTTTATATTATATGTATAGATAAAACTTTTTATTATAACTGTACATTTACACACTAGTAACCAATATACTCTTTGGATCTATATCTTACCGTCTCTGTATACAGGTGTGTGTGTGTGTGAATGTGAATGTGAATGTGAATGTGTGTATTCCGATGCAACTATTCACTTTATCATAGTAACTACAAAGAAATTTTCCGACATATAAATGTTTCATAGTAATTATTTTAATAAGTAAATGGTGACATTATTATGATGAGAGAAAAAGAAAAAGATTCTTTCTCTTTATTTTTTCTGGCTTTCTAACAGAAAAAAAAACAACAAAAAAAGATAATACATACATATAGATGTAGATGTAGATAGACAATAAGAGATAAAAACAGAATAAAATACCATTGTATATACAAAAAAGAAATACAACATTGAATAAAATAGAAAAAGATCAAAGGTAAATTCATTTTTATGGGTATGTATCGGTATTGTACATAGATTGAAGTTATAAAATGCATTACATAGATTAACTTAAAGTTATTCTTTTTCTTTTATTTTTTGTTCAGTTAAGAATTAAGATTCACATAATTATTGATTATAGATTTTGTAAATGTTATATATGGGGAGGGGGTAGGATACATTTTCAATGGTTAAAATGTATGCTGTGTAACTGTGTCGATTATAAGTTTGAATCCTGCTAGTATGAAGCTATTATTATTTATTTATTTATTTATACATAAATATTAGTACAAGGGGGTTCCAGATATATATGCGCCACACAAATCTTATTTGATTTGTGTGAGGGCTGTGATACTGCTCAGGTGCCCAAACTGAAACAAGTAGTTTTCTTAGGGGGCCACAATGGGAGCTTTTGACCTAAAGGTCTGATCTACAAGGCAGTGAAGCATCGTAAGGAGATGCAGTCCCATGGTAGCCGGTGACCAACAATAGGTTTATACACCATTCGTTCCATTAGGATACTGGAGCTCATGTGCACCATTGGTTGGGAATCAAGGTTTTCCAACTTCCCCAGGTGGACTTTCCGTGTCCATCAACCCGGTTAAAGCACCGGACATTTACTTTTCGTCCTCTCCATTTCGTAAACACCAGTAATTCTGTGATAAGGCAGTGAGTAGGACTTCGCTGGCAGAGGCTATATACGCGTGGCCATGTGAGAGTATTTCAAGAGGGGAAGCAGACTCTTCCTACTCTCGGACATATTAGGACATTTGGGGGCATTACCCAACATTTTTTATAATCCTTGTGAATATCTGATAGGACAGAGACAATTTTCTCAGGATGCACATATTTCTGAGATGACAGATCAATCATAGTCTTTAGTATCAACGGGAAAACACAAATATTTATGTTTCATAGAATACACTAAATATTAAATAATTCGGTTAGTTTTTTATATCGTGAACACCAGTCTTTCTGTATAGTACACTGTGTGGTGTTGAGTTATGATCCAGTAAACTAGACACATTTCAATATTTAAGTTTATTCAACTTACTTAATGATGTCTATTGAAAAAATTACTTTTGATTACTGGAATTTTTAATGCTTATTCAACAATATTTAGCATATATTGATGAGCTATTCCAGTATGATTCAGTGGTTTTTGTCATCTGTCAATCACTTCATGAACTAATCCCTTCTCTTAATTCGATGACCATTATCGTCTCTCTAATCTCTTATGTTGATCAATTAATAGGTGTTCAGTGCTTATCCAAACGGATATAACTTCTTAGCATTACATGTGCTTGACAGTTCTACCTCATATGAGCAATACTTCTAAGAAACTTTTGTTAATATACTAGAAACCTTTAGGGATAGTAACAAACTTCCCTTTTAATAAACGAATAACCCAGGTTGACCGAAGCCAAACAATTTATTTATATTCATGATGTAATTATGTTACCTATCTAATAACAAATGAAGATAACAAAACTCAAGATTGTTAAGGTGGTCAACGCTCTCCATTGTTTTATTTTCTGTTATCAGACTGGAGACACCCAGAAACTGTATCATCTTAGAATATATTCAACAAATAAAACTGTCATTTGTATGCTTTAAATTGATTAGAAAGTTTTTAAGTAAGCTGTCAATAATCTCTGGAAAGTTGTCTAGCGATGACATCACCTTCAGGAAGATATATATATATATATAATTGGACAACCCTGATGAAGGTTAAATATAATTTGTCGTATAGATATATAAGAAAGCGAAACAGTCTTAGTATTTTTGGGTGTATCAAGGAATATCTTTTACAGTTGTTAAATATTTCTAATATGTTTACACATAATTTTTTATTATTTAAGTAGTATTAAATTTGATTATACCGTAAACGCTAAGATGACACCCTTTAGATTTGCTTTAGAGCATTTATTCAAGCGAAATACATTTAACTAAGATGGTGGTTGGAGGTGGTCAACAGGAAACTCTGGACCCGGGTTTCGTTCTACTTGGCACTCGTCAGTAAGGTGTACCTATAATATTGAGGGAACTTGTGCTCCATGACGGATTCGATCCCGTGTCACTCAGATTCACAGTCAGAGACGTTACCACTGAGCTATTCGGACGGTGACCGACCTCCTATAGGACTGAGATGTAATCACAATTGATTAATCACTGGGTGGTAATCAATGTCATGCGTGTCAAGTCCTTCTTAGTGCTGATCAAATGCTATCGATGAAGTTGCAATGTGGCCTCTAGTCTAGGTGGCTCGACACTGCATGCACTATGTTGAGATAAGGTATATGGTGGTTGGAGGTGGATAGCATTTGATCAACACTAAGAAGGACTTGACACGCATGACATTGTTCACTACCCAGTGATCAATCAATTGTGATTACATTTAACCTAAGTCTATTATTTTTTTGAAAAAAGTGTTACTCATAAAACCGATCATGTAATTATTCAATTATCATGTTTGAGTTAATAAGAAATTCGTGATTGGTCATTTATCTCTTGTTGTTCTGTTTTCTTTCACCTTACCCTTATCAAGTATAATGTTCTCTATATTGCATATAAGTCTGTTTAAATCTATATATGAAGTTTGTTTGTTTGTTTTCATAGTTGAAATCATGAGTCAATTGAAGCTAGACCACCATGGAAAACCTGGAAGCGCTGGACGACCGTTTCGTCCTATTATGGGACTCCTCAGTGGCAGTGCGCACCCACGATCCCGTACTCGCGGGATTCGAACCCAGGACCTACTAGTCTTATGTTAGAGAACTTAACCGATAGACCACTGAGATGGCCGGTATCCAGCGGTGTTAATGCCTGTTTTGTTTTTGTTGCCAATTTGGTGTTATTTCGTTGCTGCTTTTTTTGTTTTCTACAAAAATCTTATCGATTTTTATTTATTCAGACAAAGTTTTGTTTTTTGCTTCGATACACTACTACCACTACTACTATTACTCCTACTACTCCTACTGTTAAAAATAATAATAATCCTAATTTCTTTACATTTTTAATAATTTTTTAACAGCTGTATTGTTGTTGTCTACCCTATGCACATTCATTGATATGGATATACATAGTCACGGATGTGTATTTCACTGTTTGTTTGAATGTTAGTACAGATATACAGATATATACACGTATTGCCGACTAATCCTGTCATAACTCTAACTGATACACTGTCATTTACCAACATAAATTGGTTGCATTGATCAATGCGGCATAGACACTTTTTACACATACAGGCATACATATCATATTCGTTGATAGTGTGTTTTACCAAATGTAATAAAGATAGTTTAGCTCTCTCAATCTAAATCGGTCTATTATGATGAATATTGTTGAATGTTGTTACAAGCAAAATGAAGAGAGTCAAAGCTCTTTTATTTTTTTAATAAAAAAAACTGATATGTGTGTGTGTGTGTTGTGTGTAATTCAATATGAAAATCTACATACTTCAACATCAAAAACAAAAAAAATATACCCCTTTATTTTTGTTTTTGTCGGTTTTAAAAACGTCCTTTAACTATTGGCGGCAAATGGCGGCAACGGTACTTTATGACAAGCCTTATACATGTTTATGTATGTGTGTGTGTATATACATATCGACATATATATAGGTAGAGATACGCATAAATATCATGGAAAATTTTACCTCTTTTGTCATCGAATTTTATCTACATAACTGTTTTTATGTATGTATGTATGTATGTTTACTTGTGTTGTTTACCTATTGATTGTTTGTCCACAAATTTTTGTGTGTATATCTTTCTATCCGTTTGTCTGTCTATCTATCAATCCATCCATGTTTTTTTTTGTTTTTTTTTCTGGATTATGCATTTTCTATGAATGTTTATCTTTAGGTATATGTGAATGAATAACCTTTACCATATGCACAAAAATAACCCGATAAATTTATAACTTGAAAAAGAAATACCTTAATAACATAAAAAAAATTGATCAATTACATTCATCCAGCTGACGAGTCCCAAATAGAATGAAACGCGCGTCCTGGATTCCACTGCTAACCACTATCCATCTTTACTTACAATTACATATAAAGATCTATAAATTTGATCTTAATTTGAAACAAAATAGTCTACAATATACTCGATCGAGATAAGTTACATGACCAAATATTTGTACGTTGTATCCTTCATAGATTAGTCTCAGTTAGAGTATCATTGAAAAAACCAGAGAACATTGGGTAGATGTTACGTTCTAGTATGAGACTTCTCTACAGTACAGTATAGTACACAACCACTTCAACTGAAATCAATCTATGACAAATACAATCTATAAATTAAATCAGTCTTCATAAAACTTGATCTAATCAATTGTTTGTTTAATTCATTTATCTGATTACTTATAATTCTTAATAATTAATATTATTCTTTAGATTAACTGATAATCATCTACAACAAATGGACAACCATACAAAAGATACAACCAATTCAAAACGACAACATGATGACAGCAACATTTGTGACAATCAATCAACATTTGCCAATCAGTCATCTTTCGTGAATAATAATAATAATAATCCACATCCTGTAAATAGTTCAAGTCAAATATTGACACAAACATCTATCACATCTTCATCAGGAATAACGATTCCGTCAGTGAATTCAACATTGAATAATATTGATTTACCATTTATACATTCACTTAATTTACAACAAACACATCAATCAGATAACCTCATAAAAGAGTCTAATAATAATAATAATAATAATAATAATAATAATAATCCCCCGAAGATAAATTGGACAATAAGAAAACAAACCAATTTAGCTGAATCTGATCCAGTTTCATTTGTTCAATTATTAACAGATCGATTGGAGAAAGTAAAAGAATCACGTGGTAAATTAGAAAAATTAATGTCACTTGTTAATCATCAGGTAAGTTATGTTTTACCTTAACTATTTTTCTATTCACTTCTAGTTTAAGTTTATCAATCATTTGAGTCTCATGATGAAGTCAGTTAAAATCAATATATAGAACTTGGTACTAATTTATATTATCATAGTTGAGATCATGAATCAATTGAAGCTTGACCACTATGGGAAACCTGGAAGCATTGGATGGCCGTTTCGTCCTATTATGGGAATCCTCAGTGGCAGTGCGCATCTAAGATTCCGCATTCGCGAGATTCGAACCGAGGATCTATCAGTCTCGATCCGGAGCACTTAACTGATAGACCACTGAGCTGGCCGGCATCCAACGGTGTTAATGTCTAACTTCAACCAACCAATTGAGCAACTATTCACCAATGTCTTCAGTGAGTTGATATCTCCCAACAGACCTGGTTGAACTCCACTGGTTACTGTTTCCCACTATGATGTGAACGGCAAAATAAGAAGCCTGAACAAATTACGGAAGCTATTCTCGGGGACGTTAATTCATTTAATTCAAAGCTTGCAAAACTGTAACATTTACTTTTGTCCCTAGCCTATTCTACAGATCATAAGCTTTCGTTTGATGTATAATTCATTGCCATAGCATTTTTTGTTCTAAAGCTATTGTCATTTAGACGTAATCTTTTGTACCCTATTTTCTACTATAATTCCCCAGTTTTGGACATGATTGTATTTTTCTAATTATTGTACGTTGTAGTCCGCTTAGTCATCTATGTATTCATGTAACTTTTCACCCTAATCTGAATTGGGAATTCGAGTGCTAGATCGGGGTTTGAATAAAGTGATTAGTGTTCCAGCTGTCTTTGTCTTCTCTCTCTCTCGTGCTTGCCAGCCAATCAGGGATAGAATAGTTTTCGTCTCTCTACCCCTATTTCGAACTCACGCATATTAGCCTCAAGGTTAAGCCAGTCAGCCTATTGTGTCAAGGTCTTAATCTACATTATACTCGGCACTAAGTGGGTAGACAGATTCAAGGACGTAACAGAAGTGGCGACGGGGATGGAAACTCAAGGAAACATCCCTTGAAGTCAGTCACTGGTGAGCATATGATTATACATCAGAAGAAGTTTTGTGGAGATTTCAGTATTTTCATAGTTGAAATCATGAGTCGATTGAAGCTAGACCACCAAGAAAAACCTGGAAGCACTGTATGACCATTTTGTCCTATTGTGGGACTCCTCGATGGCAGTGCGCATCCACGATCCTTGGTGGTCTAGCTTCAATTGACTCATGATCTCAACTATGAAAATTCTGAAATCTTCATAAAAACTCCTGTTAATTATATATTCGTAATATTCCAATGAGTAGAAAATTGAATTGATGATGTTTCGTAACTTAATATACGTTGCTTCTTCAGAGTAGACAAATAAATGACCGAATTAAATTAACTCAGATTTAAATAGTATAAAAGAACAAAGCGAAATATTTAGTTTAATAAAAATAGATCTAATTATGTTAATATCATGTGGTTAAGGTGGTTCTGTGTGAAACACCACTGTGTATGTTCTGGAGGTTTGTATGTATGATGATGGTTATGAAAAATGTGCAATTTGTAATATTCAAAGAATTTAGTAGGAATTTGAATGTATTTATATGAGAGAAGAACAAAGCTAAATGTGTTTGTTTGAATAAATAATCCAATAGTCTGATGAATATTCAAGCCTTCTTTTCTATTGACGGCATATGGATTTAACATTATATGAAACGCTTCATTTACTGGCTTTTCTTCATAGTTTGAAAAACTTTTCTTGAATTCCTTCGATATTTTGAATATCGATTTGGTATTGAAAGCAAATAAGCCATTTCACCACCAGTCATCATGCGAGAAGCTCAGTAGAAGACTCATCCGTTCTGGAGCATGCATTTAGACTCGGATTATGCTTTAGTGAGTGTATGTGCTTTCATGCATCTTGCCCGACGCAGAATAACTACAACAGGGAGATCTTTTAGAGTTCAACGCAACAATCAAAAAGTCAAGTGTCTATTTTATGGACAGTTAGAGAAACACTTAGTCGATCATTAGAGAACTATTCAACTCTATATTACTTGGTATAATATACAACTTTAATATAAGACTACTTAAGCCCTTTTTACACCATAAATTGGTCGTCAATGTTATGGCCTATCCATTGATAAGCATGTAAAACATTTTGGTTACGTCATATCCTCTCAGCTGAATAGTTTGATTGTGAAGTTCTCTTCATTGTTATTTTTTAACGTCATTAGTGTTTACTTCAAGTAGCCTTTTTTAGCCGATTCTTACTAATTATCTTCATAGGTTCCGTTAATTTCATGAATATTTGCAAATACTTGTTAATTGATTTTATTCAATTAACATCTAGTTTTTATGTGAAACAATGCCCCCAAATGCCCTGATATGGCCGAGAGTGGGGAGAGTTCGCTCTCCCTTTCGAAATACTCTCACATGGCCATGCGTAATATAACCTCTAACAGGGAAGTCCTACTCACTGCCTTCTAGTGGCATTACTGCTGTTTACGAAATTCAGAGGACGAAAAGCGAATATCCGGCTCTTTAACCGGGTTGGTGGACACGGAAAGGCCACCTAGGAGAGTTGGAAAAGCCTGGTTCCAACCCAATGGTGCACATGGGCTCCAGTATCCTGAAGGAACGAATGACGTATGAATCAATCGTTGGTCACCAGCTACAATGTGACTGCATCTCCTCACGATGCTCCACTGCCTTGTAGATCAGACTTTTAGGTCAAAGGCTCCGGGTTTGGCCCCCTAAAAAACCCACCTGCTGCGGTTTGGTCACCTAGTCAGTATCACAGCCCTCAAACAAATCAAATGAGATTTGTGCGGCGCATATTTACCTGATGCTTCCTTGTACCAATATTTATGTGTATAAATAAATGATAATGTGAAACAATGTTTTTATTATCTTAACACTGAATAGGTTGATGAAAAACATCCGACAGAGTCTAAAAATACTCTACCAATAGGACAAACTGATTCACATGGATTCATTTCTGTGAATCAACATAATTCATCACTTCATTCAGATCATTTAAATTGGTCACAATTAAAATCTAATTCATTCACGAATACTACCAATAGTCTGATGAATGAAGTGAATTCTTCGACTATTCAACAGCATACATTAAATTATCCTCATCATTCTACATTGATTATGAATACTGGATCTCAATTATTGAATAGTGTTAATAAATCACAAGATGCTCAAGAAATATTAGATGATCATTGTTCGCGAATTTGGGCAGATGAATCCGATATGAATATGGATACACAATTATTATTATCATATTCAAAAAGGCAACAAAGTGATATTATGCATACACCAGTATCTAGTCAACCTTTATTAATGACACCGTATCCTTCGATGTTATGTGATACACTTGTTAATTCAATGAAACATCATACAACTGGTATTGTACGCAGTGGATCTAATATTGCAGAATATGAATTGAAAAAATCAACAGAACAAAATAAACTTGCTGCAGTAGTTGTTTCTTCTACAGATTCTTCTTGTGTATCTTCAAGTAATAATAATAATAATAGTAATGATAGGACAACAATACCGGATAATACTCATCGTGGACGACATATTACTGCTCCTGGTGGTAATGTGAGTTATCGAAGTTTCAGTCGACCCAATAAAGCTGATCTACGATCTATCGCTTCATGGGATAGTGGTGTTGTAAGTAATTATTATGAGAAAAAGCATCGATTACATCATCATCATCATGATGATTTAGATATTATGGATGATACAGTAGATACTGCATCAATTTTAGAAGCGGCTAGTTTACAAGCTTTATCATCATCAACTACAGAGTTAGCTCTTGTCAATGGTGAAGTAACTGCTAAACTAGTTGAGAAAATTATACGTCATTATCCACGTGGAATATTCGATGGTGATGATGATTATATTAAAAAGAATCATTCTAATACAGTCGAACAATCATATTTTAAATCAAGTCAATTCAAAGAAACCTCAAATTTGAATTATGCGTATCCGTTTAGTAGTAGTAGATTGAGAAGAAGAAGTAAACAATGTGAATCTTTTTACGAATCACCGTCATCATCATTATCTTACCCAATCCCTGGTGTTAATTTGAATTGTACATGCTCTGCCAACAATAGCACCACTGCTGCTGCTGGTACTTGTCAACAACAACATCCTGGCATAATGATTCCATGTGAATGTCATCGTTGTATCCATTGTACACATTCACCATCAACATTAAATGATCATTTATCAGCAAACTATTGTAATTGTAATTATATTCATCAATTAAATGATAAACCTCAACAGTCTACTAATTGTCATAGCCAACAATTGCCCATTATTACTGCTTCAGATACATCGAGCACTTTTGACTCAGGAATATCATCTGCATACGATCAACTACCTTTAAGAAAACAAGTAAACAACAATCGAGAAAATCGAAGCCAGTATGTTTATTATTATTTTTTTTTTACATGATTACTAGTATTATCGTGCGTTCTTTTTTTGGGGGGGGAAGGGGGGCCTTTAAGTAAAAACATCCACCGAGTACTATATTTTATGAAGCAGTAGCCTACTGTAATCACCTTCCTATTTGTTTCTAGCTATTCTTGTCGTTATTCAGGTATGTTGTGGCACTTATGTAATTCTCATTAAAGCTAGTTCCATAAAATATCGTTGATTAATTCAAGGAATAATTCTCATCTGATTGAACTGTAGACCAGCAAACCTCACTGTTTACATCTAATGGTGACATTATATAGTTTTTTTAATATCGTAATGATGTCAACAAAGATTGCCAGATAATTTCTGTTAAATTAGCGCGGTTGTCAGATTTATCTGTGATTGATAAATATAAACAAACTACGTTAACTGGAATACTATGTCTCTGTTGGGTCTCTCTGTAAATTCAAAGGAGGAAAAGTTCACAGAAGAAGTCTTACTGTCGACTCTGATAGCTTAATTATGGATAACCAGTAACTCAAGTGATTGTGCCTTTCTAAAGATGAAAGAAAAGTTTATGAAAGTGGTCGACATTAAAATAGCACACACCAATTTCTCTCACTGGCTTCTGGTACTGATGATATGTTTCTGTAGGTTGTGAAACTATATTCATGTCTCCAGATTGATAAGATCCTCTAGATTAAATCAATTTTCAATTTAGGTTTCCCAAGAGAAGGAGTCCTACAGTATTGGTAATCAGGATATGTTGACCCCCACGCCACACTGCCAAGATCATAAAACAAGGGGTGACGTGTCTTCAACTTGGTGATGAAATTTGGTATGCTTAATTCTGGTGCAATAGTATGTTTGGTGGCAGATTGGTGCCACGCTTTTTAAAATGTAATCTAATGATGTGGACTTTGTTCAACCGAGCTAACTTGTAGTAGTAGGATTTGAATCTGAGGTCCGATAATTGTAAATATCGAGTTCAATCATCTACAATGTAGGACCGGGCACATATATGAATCGGTCCAAGTTTTCATTCCTCACCAGCACAACAAGATCAACACGAAATTCATAGTAGTCACTTCAGTGGTAGTAATATTATACAAATAAAGATTGCATATAAGGATATGATACATGGAGAAAGAATTAGTTCGTATAAAGAGAAGTATTAGGTAATTTTAATCTCACGGTTTAAGGGAAGATAAAGAGCGTATACACCTACGCCATTGTTGTCGATTCTGAGCCATGTCACACACAGTCTCCAACTGTTTGCTTACGATAATCGCGCCGACCCCAACCAAGTAGTCTGCATCTACCAATATGGCTGAAACCGAATGTTAGAGACTTTATGGGCTGATATTGGGTTCCTTAACAAATAATCCTCAGCTTCAAGACCAATTCATGTAGTGTTTGCGTAGCATCATTGTCATTCGTTTCGATTTCAACTTACAGATAATGTTACTGTCACTTGGAAATACAGTTACATTGTCTAAAATACAGTAAAACAAACTGTTGGTATATCCATCTTAGATGTTCGGAGAAATTATAGCGAAGCTCTCAATTATGAATTTTAGCTAGTTGGTACACGTCAGTCAAACATATCTAGAATTTCGGGGAGGCTATTGCTGTCCACGAGATTTAAAACCAAATCACTGTCTCACAGTCAGAGTTGTTACTATTGAGCTATTTTGAAGCAATCTGATTATTTGTTATGAAATAAAACCCCGTGAATAGTTGTATTTAGTTTACTCGAAATTTATATTTTGTGAATTTCAGTTCAGTTATTATTCATATTATTGTTATTATAGGAGCCTTCATAGTTGGCAAACAAATCCTAATTTCAAAGGTAAACATCTTTCCACTCCACGAGGAAACCGTACACATTCTGCGTCGAAATCCCTGTGTGACAATAATAATAATAATGATAACGATGATAATAATAATAATAGTGTCACTACGACTTATACACGTGAATGCCCTCTAACAAACTGTCTTATTTCATCATGTTATGAATTCGATTCGAAACAGACAACACCTGGACAACAGTTTGGTCGACATACTATGAATGATTTACAATTATGTGATTCATGTTCTTCAATACATCATCATTATCATAACCTTCGTCATATTTATCGTCATTCTCATCTTCTTCATCATCATCATTCTCACTGTCCGGAATTGATGGTCAATGATTTGAAGTATAAATATGGTAAGTTATGAGCTTTTCATTGCTATATTAATGTCCGTTTTTCGTTTTTTTGAACAATTCCACCCCTAACTATTTAATATCAATCCTAACTAACCTAAACACAACCGTCCAACTGAATAGGTATTTGAAAATGTGAATTGTGTGTGAAGATCCAAACAAATCCACAATTCTATGACTAAGAAGTAATTGTCAACGGTTTCATCCTAATTTACACCCCCTGATCGATAGGAATTCAAAATCCGAAAGGATTCGAGGCTGAGACTTTGTTACTTCGTAGGCAACACAGTACATCTGAACCACTGAGTCAATATTCAGCTATTATCGTTCCCAAATTCAATGGATTTGTGCCAAGTCTTGGTCTGGCCACCCCTAGCTTTCTTTCAACTTACTTTTACGCCATAATACATTGCACGTCGTAGCAGTCGGTGGTTGAGCATACGTAACATGTGTCCCAGCCATCTCAACTGATGAAGTTTCGCTACTTCATCAATTGATTTGCTATCTTTACCTAATACCCATTTCCTAACGACTGCATTACTTACTCAGTGGTCCCAGGATATACGAGCAATGCTTCGAAGACACCTATTGTCGAATACTAGTAACTTACGAATATCCTCTACTTTTATCGGCCACATAGTGTATTTAGGACTATGTCTTGAATTTCATTTCTGTCTGAAAATATAGAAATTTTTTTTTTATAACTAACAACTAAATTGAATATCAATTTTCTTCCTTATTTATGCCCAATAATGCACATATACAATGACATACTAATCATGTTGTATATTGTTTACCTGTTGAAGATATAATGGAAGAAGTTATGATTATTCTCATATAGAGGTTACCTTTTATTTGATTCCTATAGTAATAGCATTAATAAAATATAATCATAGTAATCGGTAGTTGTTATTACTTGTAGTAGTGAAACTAATTTTCTTCTATCTTAACTTTTAACTTGTCGTTGTTTTTTGCTTGTTTTAATATTTTTCTCCTAATTTTTTTGGGGGGTGGGGTGGAGTGGGGTGGGGTGGTGGTAATTTTCAATACTGATATACATAAATTATTTCAAAAGAAGCCGCAAACTGTTTGTGATTTTATTTTTCTCTTTGAAGTATAGAGAAAAGAAAATGCTTTTTAACTAAACTTTTTTTTTCTTTTTATATCCATGTACATATTGAATAGTTTAATCTATTTATCTCTTATTATTTACTTTTTGTCTTTACCGTCTATTTACTTTGATGTTCTATTTGTTTGTTTTGTTGATGTTAATACCGGTGTCTAAATTATTTTTCTATGACTACATACATACATACATACATGCATACATACATACATACATACATACATACAATTTCTCCCTTTATTTTCATTATCCCTATGTACTTTTTATGTACTGTCGATATATAGATAGATATATATATGTTCACATCTATACTACATTACAAGCTTATATTATTAATTATGTCGGTAATTTCTTTGATCATTTCAATAATAATCATAATAGTTCTATTTCGGTTTATGTTTCTATGTATGTCTGTGTGTTTGTTTGTTTGTTTGTTAGAAATAACCAACGACTGATGAAAACCATTTTGGTTTCAATGTACTTTTTCTATTATTTATATACATATATATATATATATGAATTAACATTGTTGTTTTCATTATACTTCTCGCCACTGATATTCGTCTTACCTATCTCATCTGCTAGTGTGTGTGTGTGTGTGTATTTAATGAATGGAACAATGTTTTCTAGCTTGTAATTCATTTGTCTTTTATTTTTTCTTCTTCTTCTCTTTCTGTTCTTCAAAATTCCGCCTTTTCGTTTTCAGTAGAGAAACGGTAGGGTAAAGGTTTTCATTTTATTTTATTTAAATACATAAGCATTCGTACAAGGAGGCACCAGATACATATGCGACTCACAAATCTCATTTGAATTGAGTGAGGGCTGTGATACTGTCCAGGTGTCCAAACCGAAGCAGGTGGTTTTCTTAGGGGGCCACACCCGAAGCCTTTGACCTGAAGGTCTGATCCACAAGGCAGTGGAGCATCGTGAGGACATGCAGTCCCATGGTAACCACAGATCAACAATAGGTTCGTACGTCATTTTTCCATCAACATACTGGAGCCAATGTGCACTACTGTTTTTGAATCAGGGTTTTCCAACTCCCCTAGGTGAACTCGCCGTGTCCACCAACCCGGTTGAATCGCCGGACATTCGCTTGTCGTCCTCTCACTTTCGTAAGCAACACCCCCTGTTGCGAGAAGGCAGTGAGTAGGATTTCCCTAGTAGAGGCTATATACGCGTGGCCATGTGAGAGCATTTGGAGAGGGAGAGCTAACTCTCCCCACTCTCTGCCGTACCAGGGCATTTGGGGTAAGGTATAAAGGTAGAACAAGAAAGGGACGACAACCAAAACCTAAACCCATCTTAGGTGTCTTGACTATTTTTAATGTTAAGTGTTCATGAAGATGGGACACGGAAAGAGTAAAGATTAGTAATGACGTATTGGAGTAGATTATCGAAATATATATCTGTGTATTATTTTAGACAGCTAATTTTTTGATGTGTTGTTTCTTTTTTGTACAATAGAATTCAGGAATTCTGATTGTCCCCGGTATTAGGAAGAGATTTCTACCTTTTCATGTTGTCAACACTAATACTGATTACAAAGCATTAAATAATGTGTAGTTCAGCGAAGAGATCTCTTTCTGAACGGATTCATTCATCATAAAGTGTATACAATTATAAATACCATACTTCTCCTTGGCTTATAATAATAATTCTTGGTAGGTTTGCTGATGACGACTATAATTCACTGAACGTGGTGAACAAAAGCATAAATAATTATCAATCTTATTAAGTAGGTATCATTACCAAGGTTTGACTTGATAATTTCGAATAAATTGAGCATTGAGTAGATTGTTATAAATAAATCAGAAGGGGTTTTGTGGAGAATTTAGTATTTTCACAGTTGAAATCATGAGTCAATTGAAGCTAGACCACCATCGGAAACCTGGAAGCACTGGACGGCCGTTTCATCCGCGAGATTCGAACCCAGAACCTACCAATCTCGAGTCAGAGCCCTTAACCGATAGACCACTGAGCTGGCCGGTTTTGTTGAGAATTTAATATTTTTGGTTAAGGGTTCTGGCTCGAGACTGGTAGGTCCTGCGTTCGAATCTCGCGAGTGCGGGATCGTGGATGCTGAGGAGTCCTATAATAGGATGAAACGGCCGTCCAGTGCTTCCAGGTTTTACATGCAATTGTCTCTTTCTTACATAAATACACATACAGTGAATTGATAGCTTTCATTTATATGCATATAGATTGTTGTGTATGTTCAAGTGCGTATGTGTATGTTCACTTTTCTTATAGTGAAAATAAGCAAAATCTAAATATAGTTGCTACGTAATGGAAAATGCTTTAAAAAAGAAATACCTGTGTACTATCTTATTGAATAGAACAATAACAATAACAACACAAATACCCTTTAAATTCACTTAGTATTACTTGTTTGGATCTTCCAATTGATGTTTAAGACTGCAACTGGTTAGTCTCTTATTGGCGTATGTGGCATGTGTGAACATCAACTCTGAGATGCAGGTACATCCAGCCGACGAATCCCAAATAGGACGAAATGCGCGTCAAACTGGATTCCACTGCTAGCCACTATTCATCTTTGCTTGTTACTACCCTTTGTTGGAGAGAGAGGGGGAGGGTGACAAAATTAATAAAATTCACCCTTAAATAAAAGGACAATTTAGTATTAGTGTTGAGTTAATTACTTGTTAAATTACAACATCCTATATGTGTTTATGATTGAACTATGGTTAAAATATTAACTATGAATATGAAAATGAATAACAATATTGATACTATAAGATCATATTTTGTTTCATTCAACTCTCATTTCTTATGTCATATCCAAATGGTGTAATAAAATGGATTAATTATAGTGCGTTAGGTATAACTTATCAGATATTTATATTTGAATAGTTGAAAGTGTGAGTCAATTGAAGCTAGACCATCAGGGAAAACCTGGAAGCACTGGAAGGCCGTTTCGTCCTATTGTGAGACTCCTCAGTGGCAGTGCGCATCCACGACCTCGCCTCGCGAGATTCGAATCCCAGGACCTATCTATCTCGCGCCAGAGCCTTCCAGTGCTTACAGGTTTTCCCTAGTGGTCTAGCTTCAATTGACTCACGCTTTCAATTATTAAAATATTAATTCTCCACAAAAAAACTGCTTCAGATATTTATATGTTTGTCTGCGGTAGACTTTCTATAGAAATAGTTATTATATAATATAGTGAAAGGTTACTATCTATTTGTGTATATTTCGAAATGGATTGAACGGTGTTTATCCCTATGGAGCAATTTCTTACTCGTTTAGACGTTCGACTTTCAGTTACCTCCACGTTCTATGTTCGAACTCCTCTTCTACTTGAATATAGGTAACCTAGTAATAACATAAACACGTACAGATTGGCTGCAAACCAAATACACCAATTTGTAGCTGACGATTAGTTAACAATAATATCCCAGTAGCTGGTGCAGAACTATCGGTTTTCTGAAATTGTACAAAATTCATTACAATTCTGAAGTGGTTCATTCATTATCTCTCTCACACACTGACTGACTGATTGACATCTAACTATTATTATCTTATTCTTGTATATTAATTTTATCAGAAGGGGTTTCTTGTGGATATTTTAGTAATTTTATAGTTCAAATCATGAGTCAATAAAAACTGGACGGTTGCTCAATTTCGTGAACTGATTAAAGTTAAACATTAACACCGTTGAATGCCAGTCAGCTCAGTGATTCTAAAGGTTAAGCGTTCGAGCGCGAAACTGATAGGTCATGGGTTGGAATCTCTCGAGTCGAAATCGTGGATGCGCACTGCTGAGGAGTCCCAGTGCTTCCAGATTTTCTATGGTAGTCTAGCTTCAATTAACTCATGATTTCAACTACATATTCATTTTGTTCAAATCTATTATGTTTAACACTTGTTCATTTGTTATTTAATTAGATAAATTACGAATGTAAACAATGTTTATTATTATAGAAATAGAATAGAAAAACAACAACACTTAATTAAGTATTAAAACAATTATACAATCTGAAAGTATAGTTCCTTTGTGGCGCCAAATATACGTGCACATATGTATATCTGTATCTATATATACATTGTGTGTGTGTATGTATGTGTCCTAAGCACCAAATACAGATATAACTATTTGTGAATACACAAATGACATGAAAACAATCAAAATAATGTTTCAAATAAAAATATAAACACCTTGATAGATTATATAAAAGTATATAGATCACAAAGTAGTAGTAGTATTAGTAGTGGTAGTGTAGTGAACAGAACACGACTGGGGACAATCGAATGTATTTATGCAAGAATTACAAACTATCTCAGTAAATTCTGATAACCATACAATGAACAATTAACTTGAAAATTAACAACTAATAGTCTAGATCTTCACTGTTTCTTCTGTAATTCCATTGTTCGTGCATTTTCCTACCGATTGCGCTTGATTTCAGTTCTTTCCTCATCGGTCTTCTGCCAAAATACATTCTATGTCTGACCAACACCATATACTACTTATATGGATAGAAGTAGACCACACCACAGTAGTAGTAGTAGTGGTAGTAGTAGTAGTAGTAGTAATAGTAGTAATAATAGTAGTAGGTTACTAATTACATCTTGTTGAATACATTTAATGAATGTTTTTTTAGATATTAAAAAAGTTTAGAGAAATAATCTTGTTTGATTGTTTCTATGTGACTATTGTATCTATATACATGAGGAGAGAAATAAGAATAGATTAGAGTGAAAGAGTGTAATACTTATTTGGAGTTGATTTTCAGTTACTGGATGATGAGGGGTTAGTGTATTAGAAAAAAGATGACAAATCGATTGATGAGGATGTCAATCTATGGGTAGTATGGGTGAAGATCGGTTTGAATAACACAGATATATTCACCATTTATTTTCTTCTGGATCTTGAATTCCAATACTCGCATAGCTACGTTTTAACTCCGAACTTTTGAACCATATTTTCAACATTTAGTTTTCTTTTTTAAATTGTCATTGCCACTATGATTATTTTGACTTCTGTGCTGGTCACCTTATTAATTCCGTCTTGTCGTCCCAATGTGGTATGACAACTTTGGTCAACACACACACTCGTGCTGGGTTCTAAGTCACATATGACTGATAGCTATCCAGGACTTGGGTTCTATCTTCTTTGCATCTTATTCAATTTGGTTGGGTGTGTAATAACACTAACCTCTACTCATTAAAAACCTCGGATTTATATCTAGAAAAAAACGCACAGAAATCCTCATTGGATTGCTTCTTGAGCTATACTTTCAGATTCAGTCTTGAAATGTATTTCCTCAATATTTCTAATTGTAATTATAATTTCTATCCTCTCTATGTTTATCTTAATAGATATAAATAATGATTTTAAAAAGCCAACAAGTGGTAAACTACTTCAACATTGGCTACAATTACAACAAAATTCATCAGAACATTTACATACATCTCTTCAACCTACTACTACTACTACTACTACTATTACTACTACTACTACTACAACTACTAATGATGTTGATGACAATGATGAGCAAAAAGTAAAATGTTTATCTTCAGATAATGCTGTATTATTGTCCAATGATAATTCACAAGCACAGATTAGCAAAACTAGTAAAGAACCATCATCACATACACGAAAATCACATCATCATCATCACCATCATCATCATAGTCATCGGAAATCTAGTGCACATCGTATTGGTAATAATAATAATGTCAATATTACTACTACTAATAATAGTAGTACTAATAACAAGAATCCTAAACATTCAATCAATTTCGACAATAATTTGGAGTCGACCAACAATATTCGGTTGGATTTTGACGAGAACAATGATGATCATGATGAAAATAATACAAGGTTGGTTGATTCTCTACTGTATTTTATTTATTTGTAAATAGTAACAATATTACTAATATGACCTGTTTACCGAATTAGGCATCGAAGAGTCCTAACTTGGGATGCATTACTGTCGAGAACTGATTGTTCTATCCATCAAGCTATCGTTCCATAATCATAATATTATATTATCATCATTGCTGTGTCGTCACTGATCGGAATAATTATACATGTGATGTGAATGGTGCGAATAGTCCACCAGGGTGCTTGGTACCTGTGTGGTTGCTCCACAGGATTGAGCTGTACTGTTCAGATTTTAGCATTAAAGCCCATATAGTGTCTGGTTCTCTTGTGGGGCGCGATTGAGCTGTACTGCTCGGGTTAAGCTAGAAGGCGGTGTCTAGTTCTCCTGTTAAACGGGATTAAGTTGTATTGTTTAGGTTGTCACGTGAAAGTCTGGATGGTGTCTGGTTCTCCTGAAAGCCAATGCAAAATTATCCTGGCCGACAAGGGTATATTATATAACTAATATAATAACTAACTGTCTCGTCTCACGTGTTTAAAACTACAAACGAAGCTACCTTAGTTAGAAAATAAAGGACAGTCTTATCAGCATTCGTTAAGTCTGGTTCAGCAAATAACATGTGTTACTCTGCGGTATATTGAGTCAAACCTCATGTTAGTTCAATCAATCGATCAGTTATATACAACGTAAAATCTGACATACGCCTCAGTTCAAGTTGCTATACCACATTAACACAACACGATAGAATTATTTCAAGACAAATACCAGAGTAATAGGAGTAGTAGTTAGTTGACTTTCGTCAATAATGTGTCTACAGTCTCGAGGAAAATATTGTTCTTTGTATGATTCTAACATGTGATTGATAACTGACCTCCTGATACATAGAATTCAGTTAACACGATGAACTAAGTAATCGGGGTATTTATTACTACTATGTGAATAGTGTAAATATCTCAGTACTGCATAAGATCAGTTGCTAATCCCAAGAGGTTCGATAGTAACATCTAATCTGTAGGTTTGAATTCCTCAATAAGAATCAATTCTTCAAAGATTGCAGATATATCTTGGTGTAACAAGTACCAACTAACTTGAAACAGTGAGTCAAGCCCGACCGTTGCTGCTACTTTGACGTGGTGATCGGGCTTGCCTATCTTGATGAACCAATCGAGCTATACTGGCTGGAACAACCTTTCCTCAAGGTCCTACCATGCCAGACAGGTTGATTGAAGAGCAGTAAGACTCAAAGCAGCAAACCCAACACGTCCGAAGGCGAAGTCTTACTGCTGAATGTACAGAAGTGTGACAGAAGTATGGTGTTTCCTTCAGACAACCAGCATAACAGCAATGCTGCCTTCCCACAAGAAGGGGTTGGTTTAGAAAAGGTCGACTCTGAAAATGTGCACCTCGCTTCATCCCATGGATATCCGTCTCCGGGGGTAAGGTCCTAACAAGTACGGAGCTAACACAAAAATTACCCACAAAATGGTCGTGTGTGACCGACCTCAATCAGCTGTTCCTTGGGTACTGCGGTCACGCTCTCATGTCACTAAGACCACCTCTAATCTAAGTTCCTTTTCAGGTACCTCTAGAAGAACCCTTCGACGATATGAGTAACCTGGGAAGTGATAACTGCCCTCATACCTCTAATAGCATTCAAAATTAACTGACTTTCTAGGAATTATTTTCAAACACTTAAAGCTGTAGTTATAAATGGTACATCTCAAAAATTCATCCAAATCATGATGATAATGATAGTCAGTTTTCAATTTATCTAACAATAACATATGGATAAATTCAACGAAATTTTCTTTTTGATATAATTTTATTTATTCATCTTCTCTGAAGAAGTCGTTTAAATTGAGTCATGAAACATTATTGTTATTTGACTAGATTTCAATGTATCAAATTGAAATTGTTGTTAAGCAATTATCCCTCCATCGTTTTCAACTTCTATTAAAAATGGGAATATGGGAATTTTGTATTCTTGAAAAAAAAATATTTAATATTCTTATCTTATTGATTTACCGAATTGTACTTTTAATGAATTTTCTTATTTATTTGAATATATCAACATTGTTACAAGGAGGCGCCAAACAGATATCTGCTATATAAATCATTCGATTTATGGGAAAATTTGGATACTGCCTAAGTGCCCAAACCCAATCAGGTGGTTTTCTTAAGGGTCCACACTCTACAAGCCTTTGACATAAAGGTCTAATCCACAAGGCAGTGGAATAACATTAGGAGATACAGTCCCATGTCAGCAGGTGACCAATGATAGGTTCATACGCCATTTATTCCTTCAGGATACTGGAGGCCATCTGCACTATTGGTTTGGAATGAGGGTTTTTTAACACCCCTAAGTGAACCCTCCGTTTCCACTAACCCGGTTAAAGCGTCAGGTATTCGCTTTTCGTCCTCTCAATTTCGTAAACAACAGTAATGCTATGAGAAGGAATTGAATAGGACTTCCCTGGAGAGGGAGAACGGACTCTCCCCATTCTCGGCCTTACCAGGGTATTTTGGGGCCATCACATTAATAAGTGGTTCTGTTTATTTTTGAATTGAATTAATCATCTAAATTCAAGGTTCAAAGTATTCTGTTTATGAAAGCTTTCACGTTTCAAAAAAAACGAAATTTAACAATGAATAATCATTATTTTATTGACTTTCTTTTAATTTAGTAGTACTATACGTTTGGACTCCAAACTAGCTTCATCATCATCTGTGATGATGCAGCAAAGTTGTCATACTACTTCTACAACTGGTTCATCAGGTGCTGGATTAGTTGTTGGCTATTATTTATGCGATGATCCTGTTCCTTATCGAACTGTATGGACTGGTGGTTCACATAATCCACCTCCATCTTCTTCTTCCATTTCTTCTTCTGGTTTATTTGTTGAAGTCAATGATCAATCAGAAACTATAGACAATTTTCAAACGAAATTGAGTAATCAATCTTTGTTAACATTAGGACAATTTAAACAATTGATTGCTAAAAAAGGTGTTTATCGGTAAGTTGGTTTCTTTTGTTTTATTTATGACTGATATTTTGTAATCTGACTAAATTTTTTTCATTACAAATGAACCCTTTTTCTAAAATGTAAAATATAGAGGATAGAAATGTCAAATTTGTATTCAGCTATACACACATATGAATTGTATAATGGTAACTTCACTAAGGAGAGACAAATTTCAATTCTATGAAAAAAAAACATGATGAGATTTAAGTAATGTAGTTTGATTTTTCTCACCATAAAAGTGTGGGTCTAGGTGTATAGATTTAATAAGGAAGAGTTTGCCAAGAAAGATTATCAACATTTATATTGGTTTATTGCCCCCAAATGCCCTGGTACGACCGAGAGTGGGGAGAGTCTACTCTCCCTCTCGAAATGCTCTCACATGGCCAGCGAATATATAGCCTCTACCAGGGAAGTCCTACTCACTGCCTTCTCGTGGCGGGGGTGTTGTTTACGAAAGTGAGAGGACGAAAAGTGAATGTCCGGCGCTATAACCGGATTGGTGGACACGGAGGGTCCACCTAGGGGAGTTGGAAAACCCTGATTCCAAACCAATGGTGCACATGGGCTCCAGTATCCTGATGGAACAAATGGCGGAAGAACCTGTCATTGGTCAACGGCTAACATGGGACTGCATCTCCTCACGATGCTCCACTGCCTTGTGGATCAGACCTTTAGGTCAAAGGCTCGGGGTGTGGTCCCCTAAGAAAACCACCTGCTTCGGTTTGGGCACCCGGGCAGTATCACAGCCCACACAAATTATTTTGTGTGGCGCATATGTAGCTGGCGCCCTTTTGTACCAATATATATGTGTTTAAATAAATAAATAAATAATAAATATATTGGTTTATCACTGATTTCTATGGAATTCAAAAATGTGAAAGTTATTTTATTCTTTTGTAGAAATAAGATGCTTAATTTAAATACATGAACAAATTATAGCTCTTGATCATTTACAATATTTAAGTAAGAGAAATGTGAAATGTTTGAATTTTTAAGTACTATGCTTTAAATTGTAATGTGATATTAGTCAGTCAGTCAGTCAGTTACAACGTAGAACGAAGCACATTTATACATCGATCACAGTTGTCATATCTCGTTAACACAACAAAATGAACACCGGATTCATAGAAGTAGTTAATTTAGTGGTGGTAATATATAAAAGAAAGGTTGTATATAAGGATATAGTATAGGAAGGAAGAAAGATATGAAGGAATTATAATCTCAAGGTTTAAGGGAAGATAAAGAGTGTATACACCTACGCCATTGTGATCGATTCTGAGCCATGTCACCTAGAGTGTCCAACCATTGGTTACGATAGTCATGCGGACCCTAACCAAATAGTCTGCATCTACCAACATAACTCAAACTAGAAGTACGTAACCTCAAGCACTGATGCCACGTTTTGGTTTAGCCACCCCTAACTTTCTTCCAACCATCCCAAATACTAGTCAACATCGCGCGTCATGATAATCGGTGTTTAGACATACGTAACACGTGGCCCAACCATCTCAGTCAATGAAGATTCATGACCTCATCAACTGATTTACCATTATTCACTAATACCCTGGCATCTAACCTCACTCACTATTACTTACTCGGTGATCCCAACAGATGCGAACAATATTTCTAAGATATCTATGGTCAAATACTAGTAACTTACGAGTATCTTCTACTCTTAATGGCCATGTTTCACAGCCGTAAAGTAGAACAGAGCGAACTGCTGCTCAGTATACTCGTCCCTTAATTGATAGACGGATATCTCCCATTCGCCATAGGTGACGTAAGTTGGCAAAAGCCGAAGGGGCTTTTCGAATCCATGTTAAGATTTCGTCAGACACCAACCCATTAGGGCTTATCAGACTTCCAAGATAATTGAAGTTTAAAAATCCCAATCATATTAAAAGACTAATATTTGAACGAAGAATATTCTTTTCGATAAATTCTCTTCAGGTTCTACAATTATATATCCAAATTAATAATCCGAAAAAATGGCCAGGTTAAAGGCTATTATTAATTTGGATATATAATTGTAGAACCTGAAGAGAATTTATCAAAAAGAATATTCTTCGTTCAAATATTAGTCTTATAATTGAAGTTGTTGATGCGTTCGACTACTTCACTCCCTATCCTTAGTCCAGGTGTTGACGCAGGCCAGTCCTGAGGTAACAATTTACATTTAGAGTGGGAGAAACGCATTCCAAATATCCTGGCATTATTACTCAGTTCTAACAGAAGACTCTGCATTTTGTCAGTGTCTTCACCAAACAGGACTATATCATCTGCGTATTCTAAGTCGCTTAGTGGACCCTCCTGGTAGGAGATCAATTTCTGAAAATTCAGTCGACGATAGTGTTATTTCCACCAATAGATCTATAATGAAGTTAAACAAAAATGGGGATAGTGGACAGTGTTGTCGGACACCACTTGAGGTTGTAAAATCAGATGACAGTTCGCCATAATCTCTAACTCGACTAATAGTGTTTGAGTAAATAGCCTTCAAGAGGTTTATGTACTTCTTTTATGTGTCAGTCATTCCGTCACGAGAAACGTAGAACCGGTTACATATATGCATAAGTTTAAGCTTCCATACCATATTAGCATAACAAGATGAAATTATCAAAACAAATCCAAGTGTAGTAAAAGTAGTAGTAGTAGTAGTAGTAGTAGTAGCAGGATGATTAGAAAAAAAGTAATATAATTCGAGAAGAAAGAATTATTTCACAGAATAAAAATATAAAATAATTTTAACATTCAAGATCTAAGGGATGATAAAATTTGACAAATGATTATAATTATGGTACAAACCAATCCTTCAATTTATACCTACCTTTATAGGTCAGAACAATGGTCGATGAATTCATGGATTGATTATTATGTCTTAGATAGGCTTCTCCTACCTTCCTTTCAACCTATTCCTACACTAGCCAAACATCGTACTTTGAAGTAGTTACTAGTTTGACAAATGTAATATATTTATAGTTAAAATCATGAGTCAATTAAAGCTAGACCACCATGAAAACCCTGGAAGCACTGCCTTAAGGCCGTTTCGTACTATTATGGGCCTCCTCAGCAGTGCACATCCACGATACTGCCTCGCGAGATTCGAACTCAGGACCTATCAGTCTTGCACCACAGCACTTAACCGATGGACCACTGAGCTGACCGGCATCCGATGGTGTTTATGTCTAACTTCAACCAATCCACGAAGTTGAACTATAGTTAAGTCTGAAAGAGTGGCTCGTAGCTTTCACCTTAAACTCTAACTAATAAACCTTACCAGAAGAGATAGTATTGTTCGAACTAGATTTTTTTTAGTTTTTATCTTTCTTCTTACACTATTCTCTCTCTTTTAGTCTTTTTTCCCCAAATCGATTTTTTCTCTTATATATATAGATTTATATATATTTGGTCTAATCGTAATAATAATTAATCTATGTTTAAACTACACACATTGAACTATACCGATGGTGTATATCTAATCTGTAATATAATTTATTTATTTTGTTACAAGAGAATGAGAGAGAGAGAGAGAGAAAGGGAGAGGGAACGTATGTGTGTGTGTGTGTGTAGAAGAGTAGGGATAACCTAATGATTGTTATGTATATACATATATGAATACATGGACAACTGACTACTAAGTTTACAGTGTGCAAAAAATGCTCTTCACTTGTTAAGCTAATCAATAACTGGAACAAATGTAACCATCAATAAAACATTTAGATATGAACAACAAAACTTATTCTATTGTTCATGAAAGATTATTTGTAATTTTCTATTAAATTATGAACCCTGACCCCTTTTTGTATGCATATATGTGTGTTTGTGTAGTTGTGTGGTTGATGATACATGTTCACATTATACACCTTTAATTTAAGGGTTTCGGCTTGACACTGGTAGGTCCTGGGTTCGAGTCTTGCTCGCGAGAGCGGGTTCGTGGATGCGCACTGCTGAGGCGTCCCGGCCGTCCAGTGTTTCCAGGTTTTCTATGGTGGTCTAGCTTCAATTGACTTATGCTTTCTACCATGAAAAAACCTTTAATTTCATTTAGTATTGTTTATTTGAATCTTCCCATTGATGTGTTAGGATTGTAACTAGTCAGTCTCAGTAGCCGAGTAGATAACGCAATGGCGTTTGAAGCGAAAGGTACTGGGTTCGAGTCCTTTCCAGAGTGAAAATTAACTCAACTCTGAGATGCATCTATGCAGATACATCCAGCTGATCAGTCTCAAATAGGACGAAATACGTATCAAACTGGATTCCACTACTAGTCACTATCCATCTTTGTTTTTAATCTTTTTAGTTTCTAGCCATTATTGTTGTTCTAATTTATTGTCACCTTTTTTTGTTTACTTCTTTCATTATCTCTTGTAGATATTTTTTCAAAAAACCTAATGATGAATTTGGTACAGGTGTAGTACATGAAGAATTAACAAATGATAATGCTATTTTACCATTATGGGAAGGTAAAGTTGTAGCACGTGTAGAACGTGCTGATTAGACAATTTTAAACAATTCAATTATCCTTTCTCTTTCTCTTTTTAATTTTTGTGATTATTAATCTATGTATTTGTTTAATTTTTTTCCTGTATGTGCTATACTACTACTAATACTACTAATACTACTATTGCAACTACCTCATATATATCTTATTCCTATTGATCATTGTTCCTGCCATAGATACACATCTTTCTTTTTTTTCTTGTTTGGTGTATGCATGTATATTCATGTATATCTACTTGCCTTGTATGTATGATGATTATGTAACTATCTATTTAGTTCTGTACAAACTATTCTTCTAATTAACTTTGTACAGTTTTGTGTTTTTTTTTTCTCTTGTAAATACGATTACATTATGTTGGAAATATTGGAATCCCTACTGTGTTGTGCTATAACGATTACTATTATTATTATAAACAGGCAATTGCAGCCATCACTATGCACACACACATACACACACACACATAAACCATAGTTGTTAGAATATTTTTTCATATCCATATCTATTTTTAACACTTTGTTTATTGGTAATAAATTTTTTTGTGTGTATCTGTGTGTGTGTTAATCTGTATCACAGTTTGGATCTGTGCACCTGACTCCATCACCACCACCACCACAACAATAACAACAAGAACCAAAGCAACACACACATACACACACATACTTCATAATCCTCAAATTGTATGTGTATTTGAAAGGGGAAAAAGTGTAATTGCATATATAATTAATTAATTAATTAGTTTCAGTTAACTTTGATTTCTCTCTTTCTCTTCCTTCTTTTTTATTGTTGTTATAGTTCTAGTGAAAGTCATGGTGATAAACTAATATAATTATATATTTAATATCCAAGGTTTATGCATTGGTTCTTGTTGTTATTCTGATTGTTCAATAAATCTCCTATTACGGGACTCCTCACCAGTGCGCGTCCATTGAGCCGGTGTCCAACGGTGTTAATGCCTATCGGTGCTATGGCACGAGACTGGTAGGTCCTGGGTTCGAATCTGGCGAGTCCGGATCGTGGATGCGCACTGCCACAATAGAACGTAACGGCCGTCCAGTGCTTCCAGGTTTTCCAAGGTGGCCTAGATTCAATCGACTCATGATTTCAACCATGAAAATACTGAACTTTCCAGAAAACCCCTTCTGATCAATAAAAATCCATCTATTTTCATCTTGTATACAACAATCGAATTGTTTTAGACAATTTGTATCTTATACACAATGCGCATCATTATAATACTTAAATTGTATATAGTTAAGATCGTGAGTCAATTGAAGTTACACCACCATGGAAAACCTGGAAGCACTGGACGGCCGTTACGTTCTATTGTGGGACTCCTCAGTGGCGGTGCGCATCCACGATCCCGACTCGCCAAATTCGAACCCAGGACCTACCAGTCTCTCGCCAGAGCACTTAACCGATGGAGCCGGCATCCAGCGGTGTTAATGTTTAACCTTAACCAATCGATTTAAATTGCATTTGACCTATAAATGAAATCCTCAAATTATCAACTCATTATAGAATCTTCAAGATCATACTTGTTATCTGTATCATAAAGTTAATATTATAGAAGATAATTTTAAGATTTTGATGACAATGTATTAGTTTCATTTGTTGTTGTTTACTTGTATCTTATAAAGCTTGTGACTTTAAGCAATATTGCGGCAGTCCGCATAGGAAGCACATATGCCAACAAGAGACTGATCAATTTGCAGTCCAAACTAACAGTGGGAAAGTACAAGTATACAACACCAAGTGAGTATAACTTCACCCCATTGCACAAGCAGGTGGTCATCAGAACTCAGTAGTTAAGTAGATAACGCGATTGCGTTTGTAGCGAATGGTACTGGGTTCGAGTCCCAGAGTGAACATCAACTCTGAGACGCACGTACATCCAGATGACGAGTCCCAAGTAGGACGAAACGCACTTCAAACTGGATTCCACTGCTAGTCACTATTCATCTTTGCTTATAGTGTATTAGTTTGTTAAGTCGATCCTGATCATTATAGATTGACTTCGAGTAAAGTTTCGATGCTAAACTGTGATCAGTCTAGTTCAATTGTGTTGATAGTGTTACGACTAATGATATTTGGGTGATCGTTTTTCTACATTAGGAACGAACTGGAGTTTTAAATATAGATAGTTTCTATGTCAACTCAGTGGTCTGAACGTAGCACCCTCACTAGAAGGCATAGGTACTATTCCAAATTCAGTCACTTGGGTAGATTACTAAGGAGTCTGAACTTCATTTCGGTATGTTACTATCACCTTATAGATTAGGGATTCAACTCAAATATTCAATAGAGGATGATAATTTTTATAGGGAATCACCAGCTTCGTTTTATGCGCGTGGATAATGGTTTATTATGGCCCTTAAATCGAGATAATTTTCAATAGATAATCCCATGTAGTTCCTTAATGTAAGACTTTAAATGTTCATGAATAGGACAAGTACAATCTAAACTGTCCCACAATAAGGAATATAATATAGTTCCTAGTAGCAAGCGTTTATTTACACTATGTAATATAATTGACAAATTTGAAATTATATATAGTTGAAATCATAAGTCATTTGAGGCTAGATCGCCATGGAAAACCTGGAAGCACTGGACAGCCGTTTTGTCCTATTGTGGAACTCCTCAGCAGTGCGCATTCACGATCTCGCGGGATGAAGAATTTTATGTGAACTTCAGTTCATTATTGAAACAATGTTAAATCAAAATCACTGTTGAAGGTAGTTCTCAATAATACTTTTATTCATAATATTTATTCTAACTAAAAGCGAACCCTGTATGTGTTCTGGCTCGTAGATGTTTATTAATCACCTATTGCCATCGATAATTATCTCACTCGAATCACTAATAAATTAGTAATTTTCCAAATTTTAAATCACTAACCGATCTTAAACATGAAAACCCGGTAGGGACGTTACATCGTCGTATGGAATTCCTCATCAGTATGTATTCACGACCTTTCACGCTAAAATCAAACCGACGACCTTCAGTTTCTCGTGCAAACTTCTAACCTCTTGACTACTGAGCTGAATTTGTGATTATTTAATTGGGTAGAAGTACTCCAGAAATTTAATGAGAAGCTAGGATCAATCTACTTCATGTCCGAATTGATCCATAAAACATCGATATAAAGTAAATAAATATTAAAATACAAATCATTGTTTCCTTTGTACAAATTAAACTTGTGTAAATCCAATTTTGGTTATTGATTTATTGTGAAGAAGTTGTTTACATTAATTCATGAAACGTCAGAAGTACAATTTTTCTATTAAATGGGATATAACAAAAAATATCTTTATTATTAACTTTCTATCCAATGCTCAATTTATTTCAATCTATTAAGTTCAACCAATGACCACACTAGCAGTCAAATCAACGAACACCGCGATTCACTGATCTGGTAGTTAAGCGATATTTCCTAGACTAGGAGGTCCCAAATTTGATCGCTAGTGTTCATTACTGAATAGTTTGAAAGTAACCTGAAATATCTGTAAAATGTTGTTTGGTTTTCAATGCTAACTAGTTTAATGTCAGTCCGTGAGAAATACCTCGTACAAGAATTCATGTAATCAGAAAATCCTGATGTCGTAGAATACTTTTCTCAGTACATTTTATTCAAATAAGAGGAGATTGATTATGAATACAGTGATCTTGAGTGCTGTTAGAGGTATGAGGGCGGTCATCAGTTCCCAGTTGTCCGCACAGTGGAAGAGTTCTTCTAGTGGTACCTGAAAAGGAAATTGGGTTAGAGGTGGTCTTAGTAATCTGAGAGCATGACCGCAGTGCCCAAGGGACAACTGTTTGAGGCTGGTCATGCAAGACCTTTTTGTGGGTAGTTTTCGTGTTAGCTACGTACTTGTTGGGACCTTACCGCCGGAGATGGAAATCCGTGGTATAAGGTGTGGATTTTTAGGGTCGATCTTTTCTAACCACACACTTCCTTGTAGGAAGGCAACATTGCTGTTATCGTGGTTGTCTGAAGGAAACAATTTACTGCCATCACAGCTCTATACAGTTACCAGTACTGTGGTGTGGTCTACTTATATCCACATAAGTAATATATGACAATGGTGAGGCACAGAATGTATCTTGGCAGAAGATGGATAAGGAACGAACAGGAATGAAGCGCAATTGATATGAAAATGTATGAACGATGAAATGAGAGAAGATGGACTGATATTTACAGAAGGAAGATGAAAGAATAAGACAATTGATCGTTTTTTTGCAAATTAACTATTTACTGTATGGTTATCAGAATTTAGTGACATAGTCTGTAATTTGTGCTTTAATACATTCGATTATCCCCATTCGTGTTGTTGTACACTGCAGTACGACTTCGCCTTCGGACCTTGGGTTTGCTGCTTTTAGTCTTACTGCTCTTCAACTGATCTGTTTGCCATGGTAGGATCTTGAGGAACGATTTTTCCAGCCAGTATAGCTCGATTGGTTCATCACGATAGGCAAGCCCAACCACCTCGTCAAGGTAACATCAACCGCTTAGTTTATTCAAATAATCTCCTTATTGTTGGATTTTTGTTCTCTCCTCATTAATTTTAAATTGTGATAAGGTAATTAATAGTTCTTCGGTTAATATTAATCCACGCCTACCTTTATCTTCAAAAATAAACAAACATACACCCCTTCAAAATTAAATAGTTTTTAAAAAAAAAATTCTTAACTATCCATATACTGGCTTACATATCGTTATATCCCGAAGAGAATTATGAATGGTAACTCTGAGAACTATATATGCACCAATATGATGCGTATACTTCCTATTGTATAACTATTTAGTAGCTTTGCTATTCATATTTGTGTCCTTCTTTTTATAAGCTTCATTATGACCCATAGATTATGATTATACGATTTACCATTCTTGAATTATCCCCATTTTATTGATTACTGTTCCCTCTATCCATAGCGACAACTGGCTGAATCTAGTACAAATGTCATTTTCTATTTTATAGTACAATGTGGTCTGTTTG